TAGGTGATGGTGATGATATTCTGATATTCTGATGCTCTCCACTGTGGAGGAGAATGCAAGGAGCCTAGGTCGCTCTTATCTCGAGGCTAGACGTGTGTGCTGACACTTGTCATCGACTTAACCAGTCCACGTGTCTAAGGTGCCAACTGTGTTGCACGGTGGAAGGCCAAGAGTTTATGGAGGCAGCAGCAGCAGCAGCAGGAGGAGGAGAAGGAGGAGGAGGAGGAGGAGGAGGAATAATAGTTGGCTTCAGAAATTTCACCGCTGCCGTGCATTAGTAACTCCATGTCTTGGGGGGATCAACGCCCTCGTAAGCAGCACTTTTGATGATAAGAATGTAAATACATGTAGAGAAGGACATAGCCAGGTAGGAGAATTCGCTGGCAGGAGAAAGGTGCAGTCGAGGGAGAGGAATAAAGACCGAAGGGCATCCGAGAAAGAGAAATAAAAGAGGGAGGAGGAGGAGGAGGAATGGTTGAATCGTTTGCCTGGGAATTACCCCTTTTTGCAGGTGAATTCAACGATTTTTTGCCGCGCTCTGTGAGAGAATAGGCATGATGAGGCTGTGATGAGACGAAGTTATATGATGCAGCATGAGAGAGGGAGGAAGGGAGAAGAGCGGGTTGTTTTTGCTTTTTACGTTAGTTCTTCAATTCGTCATTTATTAACGGAAAGGAGTCCTTGGTGCTATAGTCTGTGGAGAACAAGGTTCCACTAGTGTGTAGATGAGCAAGCCATCGGTCGATGATTGATTGGTTTATTGATAGGTTGATACATTGGTTCAGTAACTAATTAATTCGATTTTAATTGATTGATTTAGTTCAAATAATTGATTGATTCATTCATTAATTATTGTAATTGTCAGTCGAGTGATTGATCGACTGAGGGAGGTCTGATGGTTATCAATTGACCGATATTATTATTAATATCCATTGTGATCGTCAGGATGGAATGCGCATACACGGGTTTGAGCTGCTGCAGGTGTGTGGCTCTTCTCCTGAAGGTTCCTAAGGAGGCAGAATGGTGACAATGTAGGAAATTTCTTAAACTGCATTGTTGAAGCATGTTCACGAGGAAAACGGGAGGCCGGTAGTAGGGACGAGGAAAGGGGGATGGAGAGGCGGGGGGGGGGGGGGGGGGGGGGGGGGGGGGGGGGGGGGGAGGGAGGGAACGAGAGAGGAATTTAGAATGACAAGTGTGTTTAGAAAACGAGAAATGTCAAGACAAGACTACCTTCAATGAGTCCCAGAGGATGGCAAGCCTGTCTGCAATGGTCCCGCAAAGGAGGGAGCACGTGTAGAGAGCAGCCGGGACGGGAGGGAAGTGGGTTGTGCGCTTTTGTTGAGGGTGGGACAAACAGAGAGAAACGGGGCAAAAGGAGATATGGGGACAAACGGGGCCAAAGGAGATATGGGGACAAACGGGGCCACACAGGGGCAAACGGAGACAGATGGCGACAAACAGAGACACACAGGCCGTGCTTTTTTTTTCTGGTGACGGATCTGATGAATGAGGAGGGCATTTCATTGAAGAAGAGAGGTCCAATATTTTCTTGTATTGTGAATAAATATTTATTGAATGAAAATTTTACCGTGTCCTTGGAGATTAACGGAGACAACGGGAGATGAACGGAGACAACGGGAGATGAACGGAGACAAACGGAGACAGGCGATGATAAACTGAAGCAAACGGGGAGGGATACGGGCCTTTTTTTTGGGTGGTGGATCTGCTTAGAGGGCCATTCGTTGAGGACGAGAGGTGTTGGGTTTGATATTTC